CTCTCTCTCTCTCTCTCTCTCTCTCTCTCTCTCTCTCTCTCTCTCTCGAACACTTTTGCACTCTTCCTCTCATGGCGAGACGCCTTGATATGAATAATGGGTGAGTTCGTTGTCGTCATTTAACAACACTGTGCTTGCACAACCCGCTTGAATTGTTTTATGCTTTGCACGACCGGTGATTTGGAATAACCATAGCGAAATGGACAAAACACTTCAGCTCTAGTTCAATCGAATGTGTGATTTGATTTAATTTTTTTTCGCTGTCGCTGTCGCTGTTTTAGTTCTTGCTTTCGCTCTCGCACAGCACACAGTGTATATTCACAGTGCGGTTTATTTGTTTTTGCCCAGTCTTTTGTTTGCCGTAACGCAAATTCAATCGAATTGATGACATGAGCCAATGTTTTTTCGCAGAAGCTCTTTTTGTTGATGAGATCGCTTCACCATCGTCGTCATCATCATCGTTGAAAGTAGACTGTATTATTTTTTCATGGCTGTACTCTCAAAAACAAGGTAATTATTCGACTGTCGGCTCTCGATGCTCGATGCTCAATTTCCACAAAAATAGATGTAATGGGATAGATGGTTCGATGCACGTTTTTATATACCGTAACGAATCGCTACAAATGACCACGTTAATAACATGGAACAGCACAAGAGGTGTGAAACACCGTGAATATTTGTGTGCTCACTGTATATTGCCACGCAGCCATCCAGCCAGGGCCCCAATGCCCGATCTCCCAAGAGAGAGAGAGAGAGAGAGAGAGAGAGAGAGAGAGAGAGCGAGGGAGTTGAAGAGAGAATACAAATAGCCACGGCATCAGCAGCAGAACATTAAAGGATCAATACAGTGTGTGCGCGCGCGCGTGCTTGTGTATGTCTATGTTAGGGAGCCTCAGTTCGCACTTATGCGAAGAAATAAGTAACAAAATATAGCGCGCACCTTCATATAAATGATAATTTTGAATGAAATAAGTATGTGTGTGTATGGCTGATGCTGCTTTAATTTTGACACAGACACATTTTCTTGAACTCGCACACACTTCGTCGTTTCTCATTTCGATTGCAAGCCATTGTACATTGTACATGGCCATTTGAACTTCTTAATGTTCTCGCACTTAAGCGCACTTTATTAACCACAATATTACATCCATTCCACATCATAGACGCACATCATGTATCGTAATTAGCTTTATAAATGTTGAAAAACTCTACCTCAAGGCTCGATCAATGTTCAACGTGTGTTACTTTTTTTCATTGTTGTTGCTCATTCAGAAACTTTTTTGAGCTGTGTTTCATTTCTCGATTTTATTGTATGACTCATTATTATTTGAGGTCATTAAATGAAATGCAGAATGAAAATCAAACAAATCCTCTGGGTGATAAAAAAGACAGATTATAGAAACATCAATTTAAGTGTAAATATGAATTTGTTGCCCACTTTTCATCTCTCTCTCTCTCTCTCTCTCTCTCTCTCTCTCTCTCTCTCTCTCTCT